GTCAAGTCTCCTATCTGGATAGAGCAGATTTCTAAAAGTGTCACCACATGAAAGGGAATGGATCTGAAATGAGGAATTCCCTGATGTGAGGGAAGATGGTGTAGAATGGAGAAATCAGAATGCCCAGTGCAATCCCACTATAAGCTAGTCACCACTTGGCTTACAGCTCCATTTCCTTCTCCCTATGACGCAGTCTAAAGAAAATAGTCAAAGGGTGCAGAGGTGAAACTATATTTGGATGAGAGTATATACATCAGGGATGCCAGATTTTGGTCATTCATTCATTCATTCACTCAACAAATATTTATTGAAAGTCTATTATGTTTACAGGAGGTGGATGTGTATAAAAGTGTGTGTGTGTGTGTGTGTGTGTGTGTGCGCACACATGCATGCGTATGTCTGTGTATAATTTTCAAAGTACCCCTCCCAACGAAATGTATTATTATCAATGGCACCCAGCTACCACATGGAAGTTATTTGACCTTGATATTGACTTCAGACTCTTTTCTCTACAACCTGCTCAGCATCTAGCATAAAGTATTTAAGGAGCACCAAGTAAATTGATGTAATGAAAACAAGAAGACCAGTTTATTTTAGTGTCTTGTTGTTGCTGTCTTTGTTTTTTCTGGCCGCACATTTGTATTCCATTCCTCACTCTGTTCTCTTCTGTGCTGGGGGCAGAGGGAGTAGAGAGGGAGAGAGAATTCCCCAGACATGAGCTGGCAGATGTAGCCGAAGGGCCCTCGGGACACTAGTAGCAACAGAAACTGAAGAGCTGTGTCCAAGGATGTTACTTTAAAAAGGGACTCACAATAGCTTTGTCAGCAGAATCTTGGAGAAGAAACTGCATCTTCTCTCTTCCTCTCTTTCTCTCTCTCCCTTGTTTTCTTTTTAACTCTTTTTTTTTCTGTCTTTTAACCCTTCCTCTACCTATCTATCTATGTGTCATTTATCTACTTATCGACCTACCTACGTACCTGTTTACCTACCTATTTCTATTTCTACCTTTCCTCCATTCTCAGGTTCTGCTGATATCTGGTGAACAAATTTATTGTGGTATTAAACATAATCAGGAAGAAATTAGCCTTCAGAAGAACTAAATCTAGCCCCAATCTCTGTCATTCTGAGAGGTTTTCTGCTAAGGAAATTAATTAAGTCATTTTAGAGAGTAGATCTTACCCTTAGAGAGAATATAATCTTACCCTATGTTTCTTTATATTGGAGAAGAAGTGATACCAAGAGTCAGGCACCCCTATGTTCTTATTTCCAAGAGGTTCTTCTTGTTCTGTAGCCATGGCATGTAGGGGGAAGATTTCTCTGGTAGGTGTAAAAAGGCTGGTCTTCTATTTCTTGCTCTGCTACCATCTCTCTCTGTGACCTGGAAGCAGATGCCTTCCTCCTTGAGCTCACAGTTTTCCATTAGATAAAATGTATGAAGGGGCCAGCATTGTACCCATCATCATCTGAAATCATTGCAACAATGCTGGATAAATATCATTACTGCCATTTTTTTTCTTCCGATGAGGAAAACAAAGTTCGGAGGGGTTAGGTTATTTTATTTATGTCCTCTTTGTAGTGCTTATAGGAAGCAGAATTCAGATTTGTTCCTACTTTTGCCTGATGTCAAACTCTTGCTCTTTCCAATTCTCTGTATTGGGTTTCTGAAGAGTAAACTGTGGGTTTATGGTGGTCAGTCTTCGACTGGGCCTAGGTTATATGCTATGCAGATTGGCCACATTCTCCAAGAGGTTGGAGCTACTGAGAAGTGCTGAGCCTGTGTTCTTCCTATGGTTGAACTGCCATGAATACTATTGGTCACTGGCATTCTCGGCTGGCTTACACCCATTCTTAAATAATTGACGTATAGTAAATTGATATATTCTGTTTCTTTTGCTCATTCTCTCTTTCTTCCTTTTTTCTTTCTTTTCCTTTTTCTTTTTTTTTTTCTTTGAGACAGGGTCTTGCTCTGTCACCCAGGCTGGAGTGCAGTGGTGTGATCACTGCTCACTGCAGCCCTGACCTCCCAGGCTCAATCGATCCTCCCACCTTAGCCTCCTGAGTAGCTGGGACTACAGGTGCACACTACCATGCCCAGCTAACTTTTGTCTCTTTTGGAGAGACAAGGTCTTATCATGTTGCTCAGGCTTGTCTTGAACTCCTGAGCTCAAGCAATCTGCCTGCCTTGGCTCTTTCCAAAGTGCTGGGATTACAGGCATGAGCCACTGTGCCCAACCCTATTCTGGCTTTTTTGATAGTATTTCGCTAGGTAAAGCATTGGCAGAAATGAACAAGGGATCCTGGAGCTTGGAAGAAGTTCAGCATTCTGCTGCCACTGAATTCAATGACTCCTTTTTTCAGATAGCATCATAGAAAACTGTCTTGTTTCTCCTTGACCGGGGCTCATTCTCACTAGAGGAAAGAAAGTTGCTTGAAAGTATTTCAAGTGAGCACTGATTTCACAAGCTGATTTAATTCCTCCACTTAGAAGCAAATCGACCCCTTAAGAGTATTTTTTTTCTCTCTCAATGATTATTTTGGAATGTACAAAACACATTTATGTTCATTTTCTATTAGAGTTCTATGGTTATCCTGAGAGGTTATCCTGGCTGAGACTATAATTTCTACATTACAGATTGGGGACAGGGGGCAGAGGCCAAGAAAAAGTAATGCCGGTTGTGCAAAGTTACATAGCTAATATAAGGGATGGAGACCAAACCCTGGTCTTTGGCCCTAAATTCAGTGCCCTCTCCAGAGCTCCACTCCATTATTTTGTGAAAGAATGTTCTAAGTAAAGCAGAAGCCTTAGGTTGACCCTACATCCTGATTTGCCTGAGAGATTCAGATTTTCCCAGGATATGTTCCTTTTGCCTGGACATAATTTTCAATAGCACCACTTCATTTTAAAAGTTGATAAATTACATAGTAACTCTAAGACACTGACTAGCAACTATTATTTCAAGGAGCTCAGAATCTTTCAGAAGTGCTGCAACATGTAGACTTAATAGCAGCACAGTGTGGTAAGTGTTAAGATAGAAATCTTTATAAAATAGGCACCCACACAGGAGGTGGTATTTAGCTTTGCCTAGAAAAGTTGGGAAAATAGCACAGGAGAGCTGATGCTAGAATTAGTAAAAAGGTGGACAAGGTGATCTCTTTTGGATGGCCACATTGAAGTTTTTCCTTGTATTGTTCTGTGTTGAAATATCAAGAAACATGCATAGGTCATATCTACTTAGAAGGCATCCTACTGCTAGCTTTGTGCTTCTGTTATCCTTGTCCTTGCAGCTAAGTGGGAATCATTGCAGCCAGCTGCAGCTTTAAATCGTTCCAAACAGAAACCCTTGCTGTGGTTTAGATGACATGGGAGCTTGAGAATTCACTTGGTCTTTAACTAAAACTCTAGGGTATCTGACAAGCCCTTAGAAGCCTGTAGCATTAGACAGGAAGGGTTCTTGGGGTCTCAATAGTGTAACCTCTTTCTCTGCTCTGATGGTTGAGCCCAGAGAGGCAAGGAGAGTTGTTCAAAGTAACAGAGCAATTTGGTTTTGGAGCTGGGAGTGAAGTCAGTGTCCCTTGTAAATCAGTTGATGCTTTAATGCAAAACAGAAATCTTCTTTGGAGTTAAATAGCCCCCAGTTTGCATCCATGAAGTTCTGTTGTGTCAAATAATGCACTCAGAACTTGGAAAGTGAATGCCTAATTTGGAGAACCAGATCAGCTATTAACACACTGTGTGACCTGGGCAAGTTATTGCTGGAATCTCAGTTTCCTCATCTGGAAGAATAATATCTTCCTCACAAATATTTTTTCATTTCATTTTGTTTTGTTTTGTTTTGTTTTGAGACAGGGTCCCATTCTGTCCCCAGGCTGGAGTGCACTGGCCCAATCTTGGCTCACTGCAACCTCCAACTCCCAGGTTCAAGTGATTCTCTTGCCTCAGCCTCCTGAGCAGCTGGAATTACAGGTGCCTGCCACCGTAGGCCCAGCTAAACTTTTTTTTTTTTTTTTTTTTTGAGACGGAGTTTCACTCTTGTTACCCAGGCTGGAGTGCAACGGCGTGATCTCGGCTCACCGCAACCTCCGCCTCCTGGGTTCAGGCAATTCTCCTGCCTCAGCCTCCTGAGTAGCTGGGATTACAGGCATGCGCCACCATGCCCAGCTACTTTTTTGTATTTTTAGTAGAGACGGGGTTTCACCATGTTGACCAGGATGGTCTCGATCTCTTGACCTCGTGATCCACCCGCCTCGGCCTCCCAAAGTGCTGGGATTATAGGCTTGAGCCACCACGCCCGGCCAATTTTTTTGTATTTTTAGTAGAGACAGGGTTTCGTCATGTTAGCCAGGCCGGTCTCGAACTCTTGATCTCAGGTGATCTACCCGCCTTGGCCTCCCAAAGTGATGAGATTACAGGTGTGAGCCACTGTGCCTGGCCTTTCTCACAAAGTTTTTATGAGGATTGTTTAGAGTAATGAAGGTGAAAGTGTTTGTGAACTTGTTATTACAGCAGAGACACTCAACATGAGGTTTACCTTCTTTACGTATTTTAAGTGTATAGTACAATATCATTAACTATAAGCACACTGTTTTACAGCAGACTCCTGTAACTTTTTCACATTGCATAACTGAAACCACATAGTCTCTGCATAGCGACTCTCCGTTTCCTCCTCCCCGAAGACCCTGGCAACCACCATTTTACTTTCTCCTTCTATGAGCTTCCCTACTTTAGATGACACCTGTAAGTGGAATCATACAGTATTTGTTCTTCTGTGATTGGATTATTTCCCTTAGCATGGTGACCCTCAGGTTCATCCACGTTGTTGCAGATGACATAATTTCCCTGTTTTTTTTTTAAAGACTGAGTAATAGTCCATCATGACTAATGGTGATGGGCTTGACAGTGCCAGTGGTTTTGGTGGTCTGATTCCACAGCTGCTGCTGATAGCTGAGGCCAAAGAGCAAATATTTATTTATTCACTCTCTTTCTTCATCTATACCTGCAGATGAACCCAGCCGGTGCTATTTCCATGATGGTGATGGGGTATGTGAGGAATTTGAACAAAAAACCAGCATTAAGGACTGTGGTGTCTACACACCCCAGGGATTCCTGGATCAATGGGCATCCAATGCTTCAGTATCTCATCAAGACCAGCAATGCCCAGGCTGGGTCATCATCGGACAGCCAGCCACATCCCAGGTAAGATCCTAACAATGTGCGATGTTTCCTGCAGACATTCAGAATCTCCACTATGCCACACAAGGCTACTCACCTCTAAGGCAGTGTCATTGGATGTGGCCACTTGAGCATATCTTTATTAAATGTACTGTTAGGGCTTCATGAATACCATTTGTAAAGGATTAGACCTGGAATAGTTAGGGCAGGGAACATTGTATGATGGGGTAATGACTGTCCTCTTGTTTCCTTGCCTGTTATAACTAATATTTGGAGAAAGAACTTCATTTTGTATATATTATGGACTTCAGTAAGGTAAAAATGAATTTATATTGGAAGTCCCACTTTTTAGTGGGCGCCAAGCTGTGCACTCCCTGAACTAACAGTAATTATACAGTAATTTACTCTGTGGTCTTAGACTAGTTTCCTCACCTCTCTGGGTGCTATTTTTCTCCCTCATCCTTAAAATAAAGAGTAGTTGAGCTTGCTGATCTCCAAGGACCTTCCCATTCTATGAAGCTGTGACTCATGCCTCAGTCCCTTAATGCACTATTTATGTGCCACAGTTCTTCCCCTGGGGACTGACAGCTTGGTCCAGGGAGTGAGAGTTTTGGGGCCACGAGTGCTTGTATGATCCTAGAGATGGCCATGCTGTCCCGAGAGCCCCCTTTCCAATTACCTTGTCGAGGAAGCACCTGCCTTCCCTGAGATTCACATTTCCCAGAGACAAGACTCAGTGCTTCTGGCTGCCTGGACTAGTGGCCTTGCAGAGACCAACCTGCCTCCTGGCCTTGCAAATGAGCTGCTATTCTCAGACATTCCTTTCTAATATTGCTTTCTTGATTTAGGTTCAGTGGGGTAGGCCTGGCTTCTAGATGAAAGAAAGATATGACCTTCCTTTGGGGTCCAGTGAAGAATAAATGGGCAAGGTACAGAATAGGATCACCTCATTTTTAGTTGTTGCCTGTATTTGATTATTACTTCATTCACTTTTTCTTTGTGTTTACACTACTAAAGCCTTTGTTCATTTGCATTTATTTTTGAATGCCCTCAGGAGAGTGGAAGCAAATGGTAACATGGCATTTTCTGATGCTTAACATGCATAGTGCCAGCCTGCTGAATGAATGAATGAATGAATGAATAAATGCATGGAGAGATGAATGGCTAGGGTTCATCCTCTCCCTGTGCCGCTTCTGTACTTGGTGGAATCATCTGTGTGGTTGCCTTTATCATACTGAACTCTTAAGTATCTGTTTGTGTGTCTGGCTTCCCCATTAGGCTGCTAGTTCTTTCAGAACAAGTTTCAGTTTTATTCATCTTTGTCCCCTCATCTTCAAGCACAGGATCTAGATAGGTGCCCAGCAAATGTGTGTTTTATTGACTGTAGATACACACACACACACACACACACACACACACACACACACACATACACACATACACACACACACCCCATTGCCACATGCAAATTAACAGCACTGAGAGACAACACTCAAGTATCACCTCTCTATCACAAAGAATGTCCTGCTTCAGAAACAACAGGGCTGGGGCCAGCAAGAGAACCAGGAATTCCAAATTCAACACTTGCATCCAGTTCTTAGAAATGTTTTAAAAACAACCTTCAAACACGAGAATTATTAACACACTCGGAACCTCCCATGAGCAAGAGTTGAGGTAGCAGCTGTGCTTAAAAATCACCCAAAGATTATTACGACTAATGTGAGAAAAGGAGAGAAAGAATTTTTCAGTCTTAGCATTTGAAAAGAGGCTTCATGGGGCAATTATTCCAATCTTGTAAGGAGGGGCTGTCAGGAATTATGGTTGATTATCTCTTCTCAAACAAAAATCTAATTTAAAAAATCATTATAAATACTAGCTCTTCGATCTACAAAGAGGAGATGAGGAAACAAAATCGTCCTATTGAATTATTCATTGTAACCAATTTTATTTTTAATGAAATTGACTAGGTTCCATTACTCTGGGCTTGGACATAATCTTTGTTACAAGGAGATTTCAGCTGTAACTAAATTTGCCGTAATGAGATCAGCTCGCTGGAGAATACAGGGTCAGGGGAGGGAATATGTGTGCAGGCTGGGTGCAGGGCCAGGCAGAGGGCAGCAGAACAAAAGTCTCCTGAATTCCTCACCTGAAAGCAAGTACCTAGAAGTCATTCACATGCACACACCACCACCACCACACACAGAGGCACATGCACAGGCATACACATGTACATGGGCATACAGTCTCACACAGACACACACACACACCTCACCACCACACACAGAGGCACATGCACATACATGCATGTGTACATGGGCACACAGTCTCACAAAGACACACACATACACACACACACACCCCACCACCACCACTACACACGGGCACATGCACATGCATACACATGTACATGGGCACAGTCTCAGACACACACACACACACACACACACACACACACACACAGCCTGCATAATTAGAGGTAAAGGCTATTCCTGAAGTGCAAACATACCTCCCTCCCAAAAACAGAGAATGAGGAGGAAGTATAACTGTGCCCTTCATTACCTTGTACAGTGATTAGAAGAGACTGGTAGTTAATTTTCACCCTGTCAGGGCTTCCAGTGAAGATGTTGATAGCTTGAGAGGAGGAGCTGGGAGGCTCTTAGAAGTTGGGCTTAGAAATAAGATGGGAATTGTATCATGTGCGTCTCACCTTCCCCCCAGATGCTCATACTGTCCCTCTTCTCTCTCTCCTTCTTCTCTGTCTCTCTCTCTGTCTCTGTCTCTCTTTCTCTCTCTGTCTTTCTCTTTCGCACATACACACACACAAACACACACAAACATACACACACAAATCTACACATGAAAAGGCCCTGTAGGAGCATGGGTGTACCAAAGCAGACAGAAGAGAATAGCAGGAAGGAAATAGTAGTTATAAAGGTCCAGCAGCCACTGGACACATGTATGCACATTATAGCCAATCCCATTGTCATTCTTCAAGGTAGGATTTGTTGTCTGCCTTGGAGAAACTTAGGAACACAGTCGCTTCCCTATAAGTTACATAGTCCATAAGGGAAGAATCTAGGATTAGAAGAATCTCATGGAAGATGAATGACAGTGGGCCCTTGGGAATATGAGGTCACATTCAAAAGTTGGAAGTAGCTGGATTCCCGGAAAACTTCACTGCAAAACAAGCAGAAAGACTCCTAGATGAATAGATCTGTGTGGAGTATTGCTGTGTGCAGACTTCATGTGGTACTTGTATTCTCCTTGAGCAAACTTACAGTCACCGCCCGTACCTTTGAATTCAGGCTGTTCCCATTCCCTAACAAGGTGGCCATATTCCCTGACACCCTGGAGCTCCCTAGGACACTCCATGAACTTAGGGAATGAGGAAATAACCAAGTCGTTCCCATTTCCTTTATGCAATTCCTCCTTACTGAAACCTTGAGTAAGTTACTCCTCTGGGAATCTTAGTGTCCTATAGAAAATGAGAATAACATCGACCTTGTGGATATTAAGATGGATAATTCAGTTTGGTCCCACTTTCTGTTTTTCCCTGATGCAATAAAAATGATATTGGGATTGTGTGCCTAGTTCTGTGCTAGAATCTGTGGAAGAAACCAAAGAACTGAAATACCCAGCCTCTGACTTAGTCACTGTACAAGACTTAGGAGTGAGAATTCTATGAAAGGCACATTCTTATCATAATAAGTCTGCAGGATCTCTATGACTACTGCAGAGAAATAACATGCATTGCACTATATGGCTTGAGAATATTAATTAAAACCTAGTTTTGATGTTGTAAAAGTCCTGCCGCATCTAATAGTTTCTGGTCTTTCTCGTTCATTCTTTTCAAAAAAGATTCCCAAATTTGGTTAGGCCAAAGCTAATCCTGAACGTTGAGTCTTGTATCCAAATCTTATCAAAGGTATCAGAACTTCCTGGTTGTGCAAATTGGGTTGAACATCCTATAATAAGAGACATTCTTTGGATATTTTGGCCATGCACCTTCCTGGCCCAGCTGGAATCAAGAAGTTCCTGAGACACACACACAAAATGGAAATTAACCAAAAAAAATCAAGTTGTATCTCTTCTGGGAACCTCAAAACCTGGTTTGGGTTAAGTGCTTAGAAAGATCTCTTATTGTTCTTATTTTGTCTCCGCGTTTCACATTTCTCTAATGCTTTACACAAAAGCCTGCCAAAATGCGATGCTGATATTCCTTCCTTTTGCACCCACCTCCAGCATTTTTACCAGTCTGTTTCCTCCTATCCAAAGAGGCACCTCCCTCCTTTGCAGAGGCCTGAGGAGGAAATGGAAATACTAAGACTATCTGGCATTTACAGTGCTCTCCTAAGGGATTACAAACCTTCAGTCAACCAACAAATTTATGTGGTTAATCCTTGGAAGGTAAAACTTAGACTAAGCATTTCCAGGGCAGTAGTTTGAGGGCCAAAGTAAAGAAGATCTTTCAAAGATGAGAAATACCCACAGTGGGATGGAGTGCATTGTGATATACGAAGTTCCCCATCATAAGGCGTTCTGGCTGGGCTGCTGACTGAACAGAAGATTCCTGAACTAGAAGTCAGGTGAGACCTAGGTATTCCTCTTTTCTTTGTCATTGATTCTCTAGCTTTGTGTCCCATTAGCACACAATTGGGTGTATTAGTCCTTTGCCACTTCATTTTGAGTCGCTATTATTACTCTTTAGCCCATCCATAATACTTCATGCCTCTACTAAAATACAAACCAGGCCGGGCACGGTGGCTCATGCCTGAAATCCCAGCACTTTGGGAGACTGAGGCGGGTGGATCACCTGAGGTCAGGAGTTCAAGGCCAGCCTGGCCAACATGGTGAAACCCCATCTCTTCTAAAAATACAAAATTTAACCAGGCATGGTGACAAGTGCCTGTAATTCCAGCTACTTGGGAGGCTGAGGCTGGAGAATCCTTCAGACCCGGGAGGTGGAGGTTGCACTGAGCTGAGATCATACCATTGCACTCCAGCCTGAGCAGCAAGAGGGAGAC